TGAAGAAACCCTAGCTGTGGTGGATAAGGTATATCTGTGAGGCGAGGAAGAGAGGATCAACATAGTCTGTGTAGAGAGAGAAAGATAGAAAAAGTATTGTAGAAAAAGAGAGAGGATCAACATAGACTTTAGATCTCTTTCATTACTAAAAATGGGACAGAGACTTTAGACTAATTTTTTGTAAAAGTAAACCAATAAGTAATTTATTTTTGTTGTCCCAAAAGAGCAAAGAAGTAACCAAATAAGTAATCCTCAAACAATCTCTCATTATGGTATTAGTTAGTTATAACTCTTTATGATATTGGTTATGACTTATTATAATTATTATTTTGATTATAGTTTGGTGGTGGGCACATTAGTGATTGGTTCTACGTCTCGTAGGGCCCGTTTTGGGTCTTATTTTAATAATTTGAACAGTTCATTTTTTAGAAAATATCGAGTACAACATATATGTAAAACATCAAATTGATCAAATATCGGTAACCTTTTCGTATTGTATTCAAATTTATACTTACAATCATATCTATAATTCATTTTTAATTTATAAATGTGATTTGATAAAAGTGCTGTTGATATCTAGTTAACTTAATTTTTTTGTAAGTATATTATACTCAATAATTCTTTAAAAAATGAACGATTCAGATAATTAAAATAAAACTCAAAACAGGCCCAACGAGGTACACAATTGTTGCTGTTGTGCCTATTAGGTTATCACTCATTAATTTTTTTAGTTATGATTCAAAATTATTTAGTTGCGACATTTGTGATAATCAACATCATAAATGTCATGACTTATTTATAGTACAATTTATCCTTTATGGTCTCATTTGGAAATTTGACTATTTTAGTTAATTTTTTGGCTATTTTATGAGATGAGAAATATATATATATATATATATATTTTTGAGATAATTTGTGAATTTTTTTATAGTAGAATAGATATTTGTGAGAGAAAAAATGATTGATTCATGTGTAAAATATGACATTTTATTTTATTAACTATTTTAATTTTTTTTTTAATCTTTATTGACTATTTTAGCCCCAACTTGAGTTTCCAAACAGATTTAGAATTTATTTGCAAATTGATTTTTTTTTATTTTTTTTTATAAAAAGATGTATAAAAAATGAAAAATTAAAATAATATTTTTTATTAATTTTTAAATTTTTTAAACTAATTTAAGTTGTTACCTTAGTGCTGTCATTGCTGTGCGTGGATATATTCTCGGTCACACCGTTCTGGTTGATCTACACTGCTCGTCAATCTCGCTCCTCTCGACTTCCAAGGTCTATGTGACCAATGTGTTTATGACTAGCAGTTTATCATTGTTGTTAATCTCATATATTTTGTTTTTGTTCGCAATATGATTTCCACATTGAATGAATTGAGGTGGTGCATATCCGTATGATATGGAGCAAGTTTATGGTAGCTCTGTCTCGTTCTATCTGTATGATATCGGGGCATGAGACAAATTAGAATTGGCAAATACTAATAAAAATTATAAATAATATAATATAGTATGTATAATAATTTATATTTAATGAGAATGATAGAATGTAAGAGCATCTTTAACGGTGTATCTTTTCTTTTTGATTAAATTTGAGTAAAAATTTTAGCAAAAATTCCATTTAATATCAAATGCTTCAATGGAGGTTTTTAAAGTTTCATCAAAACACCGGTCAAGCGGATGTCCGGTTGGTCGACCAGCCAGTGTAATTTTTTCAGAAATTTTTGCCTTGAGGTGGTCATCCGCGGATATCCGGTAGTGAAAATCCAACGGCTATAAACAGTAATTTGATAAAAGGTACATCCATTCTCAATTCGATAAAAGATTTGAGAAATCTTGGACTTGATGAAAGATCTGATGCTGGGTTGGAACTGCAAAAAGTGAATTTTTTTATTAAATTTAAATTTGATGAACCATTGGAGATAGTCTAAGACATAAATCATTATATTTTTCATGGCATAATTTTGCATGCCGTAATAAGTTATTTTAATATACTTATAGCATACTTTGTATGCCGTATATAATCTTTTATGACATTTTTTTGCATGCCATAAATCATTAGACTTTTTACGCCATAATTTTGTATGCCGTAAAAAGTTGTTTTTAATATATTTAAGACATACTTTGTATGCCGTATATAATATTTTATGACATTTTCTTGCATACCGTAAATCATTACACTTTTCACGGCATAATTTTGCATGCCGTAGAAAGTTAACCTTGCCTAGCCGTATGCACCTCCAAACAAGGCAGTAGCTTATAAAGTGTAGCAACTTGCGAACAAATCAAGTAGAAGCAGCAATTATGAATTAAAGAAAAAAACTAACATCCACACACTAAACAACCTGCATACTAGCTTCCATCCTCAACTTCAATCATATCAAGGTAATAACAACCTCACAACGTACAAACTAAGAAAAGTATATGGTTCACTAATTTTCAAAATATGACCTTAAATATACAACTCCACCTACTAATTTCTTCGCCGGGAGGGGGGGGACACAACTTGCATAAATAAACAAACAGAAACAAAACAAAGAATATATCATTGGTATTTTACATGGTTCAAAAACTTACAGATCACAAAACCAAGTAAAATAAAAAAGTAGATAGATACATCAGATTGTTAAAAAAATAATAATAATAAAATAAAAAATAAAAAATAAAAAATTGGCTTTTGTTTTACAACCAAAACTATATCCCAAGAATCAACCTTTGGCACACTGATTCTAAGAGCTAGAAGAAGGAAGACTCCCACACCCAATCCAGCAATCCTATTCCAGAATAAAAGATATCACCAAAAAACAAAAAAACTCCATAAACGAACAGAAAATCAATAGCTTCAACAACATATATATGTATACATACCTCAAAAGGCGTCAAAAGCCCCGCTCGAGCGTGAAGGCCAAAATCTGAGCATCAACTCTAGGTTTCTAAACACAACCAACCTGTTTCAAACCTGTCCAACATAACCCAAGACTCAAATACAAAGAGTAACGGATAGAAATGAGAATAAGACAACAACACATCCACGGAATCGCGTCCGAAATACAATACACAAAGGAAGGAAAAACCGAGATCACTATAACGAAATACCCAACATTTATGTCAAAACTCATAGAAAGGAGTTGGTTGTCCCTACCGCAAAAGGAGAAGCCCAAAGGAGACAAAGATAAAGACTCAAGATGTTCCAAATCCAAGGATTTTCGGATCAAAGTGTAGCTCAAGCAAAGCTCTACCCTTTTTACAAAAGGATTAAGGTAGAGACACTCTAAATCTAGAGTATTTGTAGAGAGAAGTAGTGTATAGAGAGAGAGTGTGCTGGATCTAGGGTTTTGAAGAAAAGAAGATGAAAAAGTGAAGTGTAAACCCGTTGCTGCGATTTGATATACTCGAGGCTCGCTCGAGCGAAGAAGTGGTCGCTCGAGCGACCAGACACAAAAGACCTCGCTTGAGCGAACAATACGAAGCTTCAGGTTTGCAACCCAGAAGCACGCCCGAACGCAAGAGTGTTCGCTCGAGCGAAGAAAAGCTCGCTAGAGCGAAGAAACACAACCTTCAGATCAAAAAGAGACGCAGCCGCACGCTCGAGCGCAAGAGTGCTCGCTTGAGCGAAGAGACACACCACTCAAAGCTCGCTCAAGAGAAGGAACCCTGGCTCGAGCGAATAAACTAAAACACAGGGCTCGCCCGAGCGACAAAAGCCTCGCTCGAGTGAAGAAACCAAAATCTGGACAGCAACCATTTGTTTCAAAACACACCCAACCTGTTTCAAACTTACCCAACACATCCCACAACTCAAATATAAAGAATTAAATAACGGAAATGCGATATAGACAACAACAAACATCTACGGAACCGAGTCCAGAATACAATAAACAATGGAGGAAAAATCGGGATCGCTATACTCTGTGTTTTGAACAAACCAGAGAAAATTGTGATTGTTTTTCTAAGAAGCATTTTATCAAACGCGTTAGTTTCAAAGCTCACAGCTATATGTTTTATAGTTCTAAGAAGAGTTTTGTCAAATCAAATCTCACAATTATCTGTTTTGGAGTTCTAAAAAGTATTTTGTCAAATAGTTTAACTTCATACTATGTATATATATAGATGTTTGTATGTGTATAAGTTGTGAGAGAGAGAGAGAGAGAGAGAGAGAGAGAGAGAGAGAGAGAGAGAGACCTTGTTCCAGGACCAGTAGAGGACAGAGCTGGAGAATGAAGAACTAAGAAAAGCTTACTAGGGCTTTCAAACATGAAAGTGACAGTATCACTTCCATCATCGACCTTGATGGTGATGATATCGTTGTTCACTCCCCCCATTGGGTTGTCTTCTCGTCGCGGTATGCTTTGATTCTTATATCGGTGAAATCGTCTATGGATAAGGATGCTTTAAGCTTCGCTTGACGGAGAAGAGAGAGTTGGAGAAGATGACGATGATGATGAACTCTGGCGATGGAGGTGGAGTTTGTCGGAGAGAGAAGAGCAGAGAGAGGAAGAGAAGGAGAGGCAGTTTGATTTGAAGGAATTAAATTTCTCCGTGATATATGGGTGTCGGGAGTTGAGGGACTTTAGATATCACAAAATAATATTGTGGATATCTTCTATTACTAAAAATAAGAGACAAACCTTAGACTAATTTTTCCAAAATTATATCTTGCTCCTTTAAAGTTTCTAATTTCACAATAAATAACCTCTTTTATTAATAAATTGTCAAGGCAATTAACATATTTAATGATATCATAAACTTATTTCAATTAATAATTCCTATAATTTTATTATTGTATAAAAGAGAAATTAAAATTTTTATTTTTTCTGTTAATTCTATTAAATAAAAAATTATAACAATAAAATATTTATAATTTTTTAAACAAGAGAGAATATTTATAATTTATCCTTTAGCTTTTGTTAATTAAAATAATAATTTAAAAAAAATCACGCGAGAGGCACGTGTGTTCAAAACCATTCAATATCCGGAGGACGGGGCCGAGTCGCAGCTGGCAAGTCTCCGAATTAGCTTGACGCGAAACCAACTCTTCTCTCTCTCTCTCTCTCGCTCTCAATTCACTCAATTCAATTTCATTCTCTTGTCTCTTTCTCCATCCATTTATTTATTTATCTATGTATCCATATATACAAACAAACACCACCACACACACATTTCTGTAATTCGCTACTTTGATTGATGACGAAATTGTTTTCACAGATGACCGAGCGATGGAGATTCAAGTTTTTCATGGAGACGATCTTAGCGATTCTACTCGTGTTGCTTCAGAGCCTGAGTCTCTGTTTCTCGCTCAACACCGACGGTACGAGCTTCACACTTGTCTACAAACTCTGAATGTCTCTTTGTTCTCTAATTTGAAGAGTTTAATAATAAGCTTGATTGAATACGCAGGGTTGGCCTTGTTGAAGTTTCGAGACAGCGTGGTGAGAGATCCATTCGGTGCTCTCTCGGACTGGAATGATCTTGGCGGCGACGTTGATCCCTGTTCTTGGTTCGGAGTCGAGTGCTCTGAAGACGGAAAAGTCGTAATTCTGTGAGTGGTTCGTTTAGCGGAATTATTCTGTGCATTTAGTTTCAATTTTCTAATTAAATTTTTTTTTTTTAAATGGAGTTTTTTTTGGTTTTTTTGTGTTTTTTTTTTTTTTTTTGTGGTTGTTTTTAGAGAATATTTTTAAAATTTTAAGTATTTTATTTTTTATTTTTTTTTAAATGCACCTTAATGTATCTAAAAAATAAAATATTTGTAAAAGAATATTTTAAAAATTCAATATATATATAAAATCAATATATATATATAAAAATACGAAAAATGTACCGAATTCTTTATATATTTTTTATATATTTTTGGTATTTAATGAATTTTCTAAGATTTATATATTTTTTAAGTGTATTTATATTACGAGTATTTAAAAATTAAAAAAAAAATCAGTAAAAAAAAATACGAAAAAAAAAATTTAATTTTTTAAAAAATGAATCCTAAAAATCCAAACTAAAGAAGGTGATTGTTATTTTTGATACATTGATTAGTTATAGATTGCATTATCATGAGATTTGTAGAATTCCAATCTTGTTTTGATTATTGAGACTTCTGCTATTTTCATGCCAAATCTATAATTTAAAATCATGTTGTTGTTTCAAAGTCCCAAATCTGGCAAGGGAGCATTGAAATTGGTGTTCACTAGTCTTTCTTATTCAAATTTCCAAAGTAATCTGTAGTAAACAACATTAATCATGCATTTATGTGATACCAACTCTCTACATCTCATAATAATTGCTAAAATTTGCACAATTACACATCCAGAGTTTACCGACATTTTGTTTATTTTTTTAGAACTTTTCATTGAGATACCGGCCTACAAGAATTTTGTGTTCAGTTATGCTAGCAAATATTCTATCAAATATTTTATCACGTGAGACCAACACACATGTAGATTTATGTGAGTCACACCCCATATGAGAGAGTTGGTAGAATATTTGATAGAATATTTGAGATACATAACATTTCTCTTTTGCGTTGGGTATTAGGTCAATTTCCCAACATATGATATGAATTTAGAATCATAGATGGGGGAAACACATTATTTATTTTTATTTTATTTTACTTCATTTTTGGGAAAGAAGCATGTTAAAGATGGATGCTGATGTTATTATGGTTGCAGCGAAAACTAGACCCATTCTTGTGGTAATTCTTAATCTGGAGAAAATCTTATTAAATTGTTTGCTAAGCTGAAATTTCAGCCAACTTTTTCTGCTTGGTTTACCGGCCATGCCTGTCGCTTTCAAAATACCAAGACTTGGCTTCACTTCATTAAGGGTAGCCAGATGTCAACGCTCACCAGCCTGGCCTGTTTGCGAAGTTTCCCAAACAGGCCCTAAGGATTAGATGTAATTCTTAATCCTGTAGGGTTTTATATTATTCTCCACACGATTTGCTAAACTCAGAATCTTTCAAAGTTATAGAATTCAGAATAATGCTAATTTTGTGTTTGGCTTCTTATAATGTCTTGCGGTGGGAATCATGCCATGTCGTGTTATGTTTTTTTTCGTGTTGTGTCATTACGGGTTCATGTTCACAATACCTCAACACCAACCCTACCCATTTAACTAAATGTATCAATTATCTTGACACTGACCTGCCCCACTTATAATCGTGTCAACCCCAACAAGACATGCCTAACATGGTTGGCATATAAATTTATTTTATTTTAGATTATAAGCAAATTATACAACATATTTCAAGCAAACATGTTTTGCATTACATGCATAAAAGTAACATGTTTTAACATTAATGCACCAAGGGGATAATATATAAGGGAAATTGCATTCCCACCCCTAATAATGTCACTGATTAATTCTCTCATGTCATCAATTAGGGCTAATTACACTCTTGATCTCTAAAATATGCATTTTGTGTTATTTTGATTAGCAATATTTCAATTGTATAATTTTGTTGACAGAGTATTAAAGTAAGTCCCATGACTGATGCTATTAATATTTATCAAGAGAATCAGGGATATTTTTGAAACAAAAAGTTACACCTCATCGAAAAGGAAAAAACAAAAAAGAAGCCTTTTACAATTGACACAATTGAAATGTTGGGGGACCAAAATTACAAGATACGTATTTTAGAGAGAGTATTTTTGTTCCACAAATACCCTTTAGGCCATGAGAACTTCTTTAACATATATTCAATACTTTGGGGACAAAATTGACACAAGTGTTATCAAAATAACACAAAACGCATATTTAGAGACAAAAAATGTAATTATCCCCATCAATTAGCGACACTCCTATCCTTCCATGCATCTTGGAACAAAAATGAACTCTTGACATGTGTATTCTTGGGTTATGATTTATAGATAATTACAATAACAATGTGCTATCATCTCTCTGTTCATAGGTTACATATTATGCTGCTGTGACTTGGCTGTTACGTAAATGATTCAGCTGCACTGGAGTTTCATATTACCATTCTAAGGTTTATGAGTGAGGATGACGTAATCCTTGAATGGATAAAATTACAAACAATTTAAATGTGTGAGTGGTGATGCCATGAGAATCTAGGCATTTGATGCTTAATTATCTAATGATTCAGCTGTACTGGAGTTTCATAGTAATGATAGTATCTGACAGTTTAGTTGCTTATGACGATGACATAATCCTTTTTTTTATTTTTGAACTAGACGATGACATAATCCTCGAACTGATAAGATTACAAGCAATTTAATGGTGAGAGTGATGATGCCATGACAATCTAGGCATTGGTGCTTGATTATCTAATGATTGTTGTATATTATGACACCTTTTGTATCACCCTGAAAGTCCTACCTATTCAAATTGCAGGAACTTGAAAGATCTTTGCCTTGAAGGAACATTGGCACCTGAGCTGGGGAAGCTGACTTACATAAAATTAATGTAAGAATATTCTAACCCAATTCATGGACCCAAATATTTCATTATTCTTGTCATAAATTTCATGTACTTCAATGTAGTACTTTACGCAACAACTCTTTTTGGGGGAACTTTCCTGTGGAGATTGGAGAATTAAAGGAGCTGGAGGTGTTGGATTTAGGATACAATAACTTCAGTGGGCCATTTCCATCTGATTTTGGCAATAACATGTCCTTGTCAATTCTGTGAGCCGATCTGTCTAAGTTTTGAGATCTTACATTAACTATGCTTCCTAAACTAGTGTTAACTCAATCTTCTGGTTATCGTCGCAGTTTACTGGACAACAACAACTTTAACATATCTCCAGAACTTTATGAAGTTCAGATGCTTTCTGAATTTCAAGTAGATGAGAACCAGCTCACTAGTGCTGCTTTAAAGGCTAGTTGCAACAGCAAATCTAGTTCTTGGTAAGAGCATCTCCAATGCACTAGGTATATAATGATTGTTAGGTAAAATGCCTAGTATGACTCACTTTTTTCAACTCCAATGCACTAGGCATGTAATTAGGCATTTTAGCTCAATTCACATTCACTAGCTACATGTAGCTAGCCTTCAAGGTTAGAGCATCTCCAATGCACTAGGCATATAATACTTGTTAGTTAAAATGCCTAGTATGATTCACTTTTTTCAATTCCAATGCACTAGGCATATGATTAGGCATTTTGGCTCAACTCATATTCACTAGCTACATGTAGCTAGCCTTCAACGCTAGGCAAAATGTATTCAATCATTAGGATCATTTCCCTCCATCTTTGTTGTTGACATGGCATTCTATAAAATTAATAGTATTTAGATAAATAGCTAAAATAAAGAGCATGGTTGGAGTAGAAACATAAAACAATTGATAGGCAAAATAAAATATATACTTTATAGTAATATTTAGATAGGCAAAATGCCTACTACCGTTGGAGATGCTCTTAGGCAAAATGTATTTAATCATTAGGATTATTTCCCTCCATCTTTGTTGCTGATGTGGCATTTTATAAAATTAATAGTATTTGGATGAATAGCTAAAATAAAGAGCATGGTTGGAGCAAAAACATGAAACAGTTGATAGGCAAAATAAAATGTACACTTTATAGTAATGTTTAGATAGGTAAAATGCCTATTACCGTTGGAGATGCTCTAAGCCTGTTAAAATATGAAGCTCTTTATGTAGTTTAATAAATATTTTTCCTTCCATGCCCCCAACTGCTGCTTGCAGGGTTGTTTTTCGTTTTATTTATTTTTTTGGCGAAACTAAAAGCGAAAAGGGTAAATGATTAAAAAAAAAAAAGAAGCCCAATTAGTACACATTAATGTGTGTTTGGGAGGGAAAAGATTTGGTACACATTATAGAATAGAATTTTAAAGTAGTTATCTAGTGCACTTGCCTGTGACAGGATATTTTGTGTCTGTTTCTAACAACCTTATTTGTTATTCTTGATTTCAAGCTGCTATTTTACACAGCCCCAAAGATAAAAGCAACAACTAGGAGTAGAGGCTGTATTGGGTGTATATATATACATGGTTATCAGAATCCCGATCCGGATCTTACGATCCTATGATCTTATGATCCATTTGAGTACAATCGATTCAGATCGTGTAAAAAAATCCTTATAGGTAGGATCTTTCGATCCTGATAATGGGATCTTATAGGATCGTGGAATCTCGATCCGAATCCGATCCTATCCGATCCAATTTACAAGCCTTGTTTTGTAGTGTATAACATATTTTATTGTAAATTTTATGTTTCTTGTCTAAATACCCATTTATGTGGTCAAAATAAATAATAAAAATTAAGTAGCATGGAATCAAATAGACGAAAAAAAATAAACTAAGAAACAAACATTCAAATATTGCGGTAATTTAAGAAAATTAACTAGTCGGAAAAACAAACTTAGTTTTAGCAAAGTCTAAGGAGGGTAAGATGATTGCAAATTTATCCCAATTTTTGAAGAGATTATTTTTGTTATTCGAATCCGCTCTACCAGGAATGCTAACGATAAATCTTATCATTCGGTCAAGTCGCTCTTTTTAGTTCTTAATCTATTTTCAGATCTAAGTTTGTTAAATATTTTTCATCACTTTTTATGCATTATTGTAGATTATATAGTATTTTGTTATAGAATTCTTTTTCTTCACCTTCTTTTTTGATAAAATACAAAATTTTTACCATCGAGTTTTCTATTATATATACATTTTACATGAAGTATTATATTTTTCACAATATCTTCACTTCTTTTTAATAGAATATAGGCTCATTTTGTGTATACTTTTTAGGAAATATTTATTTTAATTAAATAATTATGTAATTTATCTTTTTCGGTAGGATCTTACGATCCTCGATCTGATTCTACGATCCGATTCTTTAAACACCTCCAACGATCCAACGTAGGGTCCCGATTTTAACAACCTTGTTACTATACAGATGTCGTATATATATATATAGAGAGAGAGAGAGAGAGAGAGAGAGAGAGAGAGAGAGAGTGGTTTTGGAAAAAAAGGATCAAATGTCAGGTGACATCTTTTGCATCTCAAACCTCGTGTGGTTTGACTGCTCGTGCCTTAAAGTGTTGGGTTCAGTCCCACAACACAAACATATTGAATCGCCTCTTCCTCAGACAAGACGACCAAACAATTCCTAATCATGGTCCCTGTGAATCAGATCATCCATATAGTATACATAAAGTAGTAAAGAAGTGGCCAGTATTATTGTTAGGGTTTACTGGCAATATTTCGCAATTTTTGTGTACTTGTGGAATCACTAAAGATGTGCATGAATTATTGAGGGGTCCATAAGTTTGATGGAAAATATTATTAGGTTGATTTTTTATTTTTTATTTTTTTAAAAAAAGAGGTTATGATTGGGATTTTTCCTTATGGGCACTCAAAAATTGCACAGCTGCATATTTGCTCTTGTACTAATAGGAACATTAAAGCAAATTATTTTCAGTACTTGCTTTATGATGGCTTGTCTCACCTTCAGGCACACTGTACAAGATGGTAATGTTGCGCAAAGGAGGCTGCTGCAACATTTTAAAGCCACAAATCCGCCCAAAGTTAAACGGGATAGACGCACTAAGAGGGGTTCTGAATTATCACCATTTCCTTCTATCTCTTTATCACCATCACCATCGCCATCATCATCACCATCACCGTTGCCATCAACAGTTTCACCTTCAGTCTCTCCCTTAAATTCACCGTTCTCATCTTTTCCATTTCCTCCTTCAGGACCTAAATCATTACCACCAGATCCACCACATGCTTCCTCACCAGATTCTTTGGTCCCTTCACCATCACCTAGGCCACCAACAAGTCCACTTTCACTTTCTCTATCAAATCCACCACTTGATTCTAAGCCACCAGTGCACCATCCTGCTCCTTGGCCTTCCCCTGCTTCAACTCATAGCCGAAATGTACAACGGAGTTTCAATTCGAAGCATCATACAATTTTGTTATGGTCTGGAGTAACAGTGGGATCTTTATTCATATTTATTTCGGCCCTTGGCATTTTTTACTTTCGAAGCAACAAGGTCATCACTGTCAAACCTTGGGCAACAGGGTTAAGTGGGCAGCTGCAGAGAGCATCTGTAACAGGTTATTCCTTTTTCTTACAAGAATGAAGGTTTATTGCATATTTATACTCTAGGGAAGTGTAATGCTTAGGACCTAATGTCCCCTGGTTCATACCCAGGGCATTGAACTTGTCAATGTATGTATTTATATATATTATTCATGTTTTAGCGTTTGAATTCTAGGTGTACCAAAGCTCCAGCGATCAGAACTAGAAGCAGCTTGTGAATATTTCAGTAATATAATTGGCTCTATATCAGATGGCACAGTGTACAAAGGTACTCTTTCAAGAGGTGTTGAAATAGCAGTAACGTCCACTGCAGTGAAGTCTGCTGAAGACTGGTCGAAGAATTTAGAAGCCCAGTACAGGAAAAAGGCATGTCAAATGCAAATTTCACTGAACTTTAACAGCATCTTTTAGAAAATCACTTATTTTTATGTTTTGGTCATTTTTCAGATAGAAATGCTATCAAAAGTGAACCACAAGAACTTTGTGAGCCTTATTGGGTTTTGTGAAGAAGAGGTGCCTTTCACCAGGATGATGGTTTTCGAGTATGCTCCAAATGGGACACTCTTTGAGCATCTACACAGTAAGTTTTTTGATCATACCATACTTGTAGCCTTTCATTCTAACAAATAATATAATATTCAAAATCCACAGGCTTCTTGAGAAATGTAATCCTTTCTTCCATATGTGCTACTGAACAGTTTCTGCTCTTGGAAGTTTGGAACATTGCATTTCATATGGAATTTTTTTTTTGCAAAAAAAATAAAAAAATAAATAAATAATACACCAGCCCTATAATCCTGAAACCTCATTGAAGTCTTAAATAATGAAAATAGCAGATTTGAGGCTCAACTTATTCATTTTCATTAAGAGTGCTCTATCAGTTGTGTTCGGCCATGTTGACTGTCCATTTATGGTAATTTACATGCTAGATCATCCCTGTTGCATATCTGTAAGCTGCATGGATGTGTGTCGAATGTGAAAATGTTTCTATTCTTCCATGTCTTCTGGAACAGAGAAATAAGTAATTTGTAGTCATCTTTGTTCTGTTGATTTGGCAGCCAGTATTCTACGTCTCATTTTCTGGTTTAGTTTATGTTTCATTCTGAATACACCTTTAGCTAGAAAGCTGAGTTAATTATCTCCGGTTTGTCTTTTTATTTTTATTTTTATTTTTTTATGTTCTTTTCTGATGCCCTGCAGTAAAAGAATCCGAGCACTTGGATTGGGGAATGCGACTGCGAATAGCTATGGGCATGGCATATTGCCTTGAGCATATGCACCAGCTCACCCCACCTATAGCCCACGGAAACTTGCAATCTTCTTCTATATATCTTACTGAAGACTACGCGGCCAAAATATCAGATTTTAGTTTCTGGAACGATTTAACAGCAACAAACATGGGTTCAGCTGCCACAGAGCTCTTGGAGGCACAGTTGGCAGATCCAGAGAGCAATGTTTACAGCTTTGGGGTAATTTTGTTTGAAATGGTAACGGGCAGGCTTCCATATTCGGTTGATAATGGCTCTGTTGTGGACTGGGCATCGGACTACTTGAATGGAGAACAACCCTTGAGAGAAATGGTCGACCCAACTTTAAAATCCTTCCAAGAGGAAGAGCTCGAGAAACTGTTTCAAGTAATAAAAGATTGTGTGAATCCTGATCCCAAACACAGACCAACAATGAAAGAGGTCACGGCTAGGTTGAAAGAGATCACAGCTATGGGACCTGATGGAGCCACACCAAAATCATCTCCTCTTTGGTGGGCAGAACTTGAGATTTTGTCTACTGAAGGAAGTTAAAAAGGTGAAAAATTGAGCTGAAAAGTCTGAAGTTAATTTTTTTAGACGTTAGTGTCCCTGATAGCGTTAAGTAACAGAAACCTCTCCAAAAATTTGGGTACGGATGCATTTTGCTCACCCAGACCACGCTTTAACGGGAGTCTCGTACCATTTGCTCTAATCACTTTCCAATTGTATGTTGCATTTTTTCTTAATTCTGTTGAGATTAAAGTCAATGGTGTCGATGGTAGGTACTAGATACAGCTTGTATTTAAATTTTTTTTATATGTTTTTTCATTTTTATTTTTTATTGGGAAATGCTTGTATTCAATAGATAGTAATAGGAAATATCTGTATATAACGAATGAGGATGACCTGTTGGATCTTCTTATTCTATTAAAAAATTTTGTCCATGCCAAGGATTTGAAAATTGTGTATTTGAGGATATGCTGTTGCAATCAACAAATATTGACTTTTCAAACTTTACCTAGTTGCATATGATTCACAATTTCATTGGTTAGCTTAATTGAGCATTTGACTGAACAATAAAAGTACAGACACATAATGAATCACAAAATACTCGTACACTTGTATACGTGGGTCTTACAGTTCATTCTGTGACCCTAACAAAATTCTTGTGTGCCCCTTGCTGCCCTCTTTTTGTTTGCCTTTTAAACTCTGTTAATCCTCGTTTGTTTTCAAAATAATAAATAATGAGCTTCTATTCATGTTTAGATAATTAAGGAGCACCCTGAAAACCAGATTAAGAACGTTGCTTACAAGCCCGCGCCTCAACTTCCACAGACCAAAAGAAAAAAAAGGAAAAAATTATGAAAATTGTCCATTAAAGACATTCAATAAGCAGAAGATGACCTGCCCAATCCATTCTGCCAAACCCTTGGACGAATGAATTTAGAAATAGAGAGATGGTTGGATACAAGACTACGTTGCTCCATCTAAGGTAGCAAAGATAAGAAACTCTTCATTTTTATTGCACATGAAACCATTATCCATTACCACATACAATGTGCAGTCCAAACACAAACGGCAGAGCCACCTATTATACAACCATTGCAATAAGCGAGAAGGGTACAGCAGTAATGCTATGGACTCAGAAAAAAAATTACTCAAAATGTTTTCATAAAAATAAACGCGTGGGTCAAATTCATTTTGAGTATGGCCCACATCACACAAGGTTTGAATCTATACCGGACATTTCATCTTTTGATAAAAACAACTTGTTCCTAGTACCAAATTCCACTTCTAATGAGGAAAAATGCTCAAGAAATAGTATACAAATCTTACAACATGATACACCCTTTCAACTGTCTTGTCTCTGCCCAACACTACAGTCTAACACAACATCTTTTGAACATTTCCTTTTGGGTTTGCCTTGTTCTTGAGCTGTCTTGTGGGCTGTGCTTCTCCACAATCTGTTTTACCATCAACTCCATAGCAGCATATATACATACCTCTCCCAAATGTTCCTGTCCTTTCCCCACTGACATTTCCCTCCATTCTCAAAGCCACAGTCAGTTTCCATCTCGATGCTCTTTTATTGGCATCGGTTTTTGGAGTGAATTTAGTATCCGACTACCTCAAGGCTACCAGTGGGTACGAACAATTTCACAAATATAAAACACACTGACTCACATATGTAGATGGAGAGCTCGGCCTTGTGCTCGATTATACAGATCAATGGTGTCTTTGTGGTTGGGATCCAAGCAGAGAGCAGCCTCACAGTCACGGAGAGCAGAAGCGCAGTCACCCATAGACTCGTGGAATGCTGCTCGGAGATGAAGCATTTGCAAGTCGGGCTTGAAAGCTATGGCTTTTGTCAGCTCTTGTACTGCTTCATTTTCTTTTTGGTCATCCATAAGAACTGGTTGAATGTGTATTCCATATGTTAGTGTCAAATAAGCAATATAAAAAATAATAATAATAAATTGTAATTTAAGTTAATGGGTCACAAAAAGGAAAAAAAAGAAGAAAAACAATACCTGCCGCCCTGTATCTGTAGGGATAAGTCCTCAGAGGATCCAATTGTGTTGCCATACTGAGATCACCATTTGCCATGTCACGGTCACAGTACTCTGATCGTTTCTCATAAGCTGATGCATTGTTTTGTGCCTTCTCTATCAGCTTTGTCATTTCATCGTAAGCGGCTTTTCTTTGATTTTTAAGATGATATACACGGGCCAACCCTTGATGAGCTCTCGTATGCTTGATGTCGAGGGCATTCACGTAGCAGTCTGTGGCAAGATCGAGTTTACTAATATCCACGTAAATGCTCCCAAGGTTATTCAGTGCCTGTAATATGTCACCAAAACACAATCAATAAAAATATTTTGGACATATGACGAAGAAATGAGTATTTCCATTCTTGTGAGTAATACTTGTCCTTTCCGAAGGCCATCTGAAGGGCATTTTAGAGCTTCCTCCAAAAGTTGAATAACGTGTGATGAAGATTCAGTGTCGAGAGTTGTATCTGCTAGCATGTATGCTTTGAGGAAAAAGGCCTCAAATGACCTATGAATAGAAATGGACAATTCAGCCTTAGAGAGTGCTTCTTCGCGATACCCAGTGTCATATAGAATCCATCCTTCATATATATGCCTTTCGTGCTCTGAGCTAGCGTGATTTCGAGCCAACCTCAGACTTCGCATTGCAGCCTTTTGACAGTTTAACCTACATCATTCATACATGTTATTTGAGATTGCAAATAAAGAACAAGAAATAATGCAGCAAAAGTTCTTGAGTTGGCTTTTTGGCTTTTTGGCTATTTTAATCTGAGGCTAAAAAGCTTCGTTTAGGATGGGCTTTTTGGTTTTTTTGACTTTTGTGAGAGAAAAAAATGAAATGATTATGGTTTGGATGTGACAACTTTTAGCATGGGGTTAAAAAGCCTATTTTGACTTTTTGTGGCTATTTTAGTCCCAACCAACCCCAACCCAACTTCCCAAATGACTACTTAAGAGCTTATTAGTTCAGCACTACATCGGAAGAAAAGGAAAATACCAAAAAGTTCAAATTCACAGCTAGTAAATAACATTGATATTAGCATTGACATAATAAGAAAATTTCGTCCCGCTTTCCTCTCCTGTGGCAAGAGCTCGTTTGCCAAGTCCGAGCTACCACTTTCTGCCCCTGTGCTTTTTCATTTTTCCATTTTTTTAAGTTATCCAAAAATTACAAACAATTTATCAAAATGCTCAAAATGATTTCAAAAGTACACTTTTTAGGGTATTAGGCTCAAACATGCATTTTCCAACATCAAATCATATTTTGAGAAGATCAAACCCTAACATGTTCTTCATAGGAATCTTCTTATTTCTATCAAACTGTCTGCATATACGATTTCATTATATGAAGAAATAAGGGGATAAGGAGATACATGTTCACCATGAAAATATTGGGAAGAGATAACAAATTGTGCATATCTGGATTCCATAAAAACTAGTGATAATGATCGGATAAACTTATTAAGAGTCACTAATAATAACGAATGCACTACATAAAGGTTGCAATTGTGAAGACAATTCACCAGAACTTCTATCACAAACTCACCGCAAAAGAAGTAGAGATTGCCGAAAAAGTAAAATGCTCTTTGCAGGGTCATTTACCAGCATTTGATGAGTAACAGCCAGAGATCCAATATCATCAACAGCCGACCATCGATCATAGAGTTGCATCCAGCAATCACCGGGACCCCACTGTTGAACATATTGATTGAGGAGCTCAACCATGTGATCACCTCTGATCTTCCCATGAAACATCATGTAATTAGGCTCCAAAGTCAACAAGGCTCGAATATCTCTCAGAGCAGATTCATAATCCTCAATGGCAATAAACAACCAAGCCCTCAATTCAAGGCAGTCTGGAGACACCTTAAATCCAATGATTTTGTTGATCTCAAGTATGGCTTCCCCGATCCGGTTCTCATCTACCATTGAAGCGGCTCTGTACTTGTAAGGAAATGAAAGAACCGGATCCAATTCAGTGGCGGTTTTCAAATCCACAATCTTCTTCGTCCCCACGTTATACAAGGACCGCTCTTGGTACATCCACCCAACCGGTTTATGCTTAGAAATGATAGAATTGATCAACTTGTACGCTGAAAACCCGTGTCCTTGCTTGTATTTAGTTCTTGCAATGCCTGCCACCGAATAAACATGACCCAATTCGGCTGCAGCCTCAAAACAACACTGGGCTTCCTTGTACTCCTTCCTCTCCAACAAAACACAACCCAATTGATGCAATGCGAGTGCCTTTTGCCATTTTTCAGTGGCACATTCTTTCAATCTCTCCAACAACGACACTAGCATGTTTGATGTCAAGCTCTCTTCCATCGCCACTTGTGTTAGGAAATAGTACAATAAGAAAGAACAATGCCCCGCCATGGCCAATCTCTCCCTGGCCTCAAACCCACAAAATATTTTACTGACATTCAGATTACACAGAGAACTCGGAAGCTCTCTTAATAATATTTGCAAGCAAGACGCAACAAGAAGATACGCGGTCTCCTCCAATCCATAATCAATTAGGATCAAAGCATCTTCTATGTTAGAGACCATAGATGCTAAATACGCATCGCAATCAGCCTTCATTTCCTCACAACAAAACCTGTTCGCGAAAGAGAGGAGCTCTAGAACAGTACTGGGGCAAAACGAGTCTAATCTTCTCGTATTGCTAAACACTCCCACAGCTCTCATTCCTTTCGCAGATATACCAGATTGCGAGAAATTGATCGTTTCTCTTTTCGATTCCATGAAATTTCCGTATAGCATTGCCTTCAAAGGGCGCGACAGATGAGCTATTTTATCTTTATTGCAATCAATTTCTTCATCACCAATCAAAAAACAAACATCAATATCATTTTCTGAAATCAAACTCTCATCATCCCCAATTGAGGACTCGAATTTTGCAGACTCTGATTGATCACTGTGACATTGACAATGATCAGAGACTGAATTTGGATCATACCCAGAAACCAAAGCAGCCTTTGGACATTCAAGAACTCGGCCACCACAGTGCAAAGATGAAATACCCACAAGCTCGTCCTCTCTCTTCTCGTAACGCAACCACGCCGAGAGCACAATCTTCGAGTGTGCATCGACGGCGTGTTCACGCGCCGCCTGGAGACACCGCCGGAGGAGCTTCGGATCGCCGAGGGAACGAAGGATTGAGTACTGCTCGAGGCAGATTGACGATTTGTTGAGACCAGGGGAGTTTTGAAGGCGGCGATAGAGGTCAGCCGTAGAGTCTACAAGATCGAGGGGTTTGAGATTGGGGTCAATGGCCGGTTCAAGGAGGTCCGTCGTAGGGAGTCCATGAGGGAGAAGAGTTTCAGACAGTGAAGCTGAAATGTTTTCGTTGGAGTTCGATAGAATAGAGCTGATCGTGGGGTTGTTTTCACGGCGGCGGTGGTGGTGGTTGGGTTTTCCGACGGCCGTGGAGGTTGTGGTGGTTACGTTGAGGGCGTGGACTTGGGTCGTTTTGCATCGTTCCGCGAGCTTGATACCACCGCGGACGGTGCTTCTCATGGGGAGAGTGTATTGGCGGAGGAGAGTTGAGAATTTTGATCTGGAAAGAGCGGGTTGTGGGGTTTCTGATTGATCGGCATTTTGGCTTGAAATTGACATGAATGGAACTGGGTTGTTAATGGAATGGAAGGGATGATTGATTAGCTCTCTACTCTAAAAAAATCACCATTACAGAGACAAGAGAGAAAGAGAGAGAAGATGGCTGATGCAGGAGATAGGCTCTCCCTCGGCAATGGTGTTTTTGCTCATCACAAGAAGTTTCCCATCTGCTAATTATTAATCTGGAGGGTGTATATTATTTAATCAAAACTATTTTAAAGAGTGTATATTATTATTTAAATAATAAATTTTTATTTTAAATTAAATAAAGTTGTGTTATGTAAGGGTGAGTAGCGGATATACCGATCCGTCAAAACTAATCGAACCGAACCGATCCGCCGCATTTTGGACGGATGCGTGATGACGAACGGATGGTTGCGGATTGATTTTCTTAAATTCGCCAATTTGGCGGACGGATGGTGGATGTGAGATTTTTTGGCCGCAACCGAACCGCCAAACCGCCAAATTGCGAACACCCCTAGTAATTTATAAGACTTTGTATTTTCAATTTGTTTAAATATTATATTTGTATTTTCAATTGAAAAAGAATTTAAATATTCTGTTGAAAAAAAGTTTTCAACTTGAATATATTTTTTGAATTGAAAAAAATAAACGTATTATTCATATATATTTTTTAGTTTTTAAATGTAACTTTAAAAATAATAAATAGAAAATATGATATATGCTGGTTGATTTTTGTTTTCAAAAACATATGTAGATGTAACAATACAGAAATATTCAATCTCTACTACTACTCTGTTCATGGTTTTGGTGGTTTGAATTGTTATTATATTTTAAGAATCACAGATTGTAATACTTTATGAGGATGAATCATGCTGTAATTGTAATATGTGGATGAGGCATGCAGTGATCGTGATATTCTAAAGTTTCAAACTTTTTTTCTTTGGATAAGGCATACAGTGATTGTAATACTTTTTTAAGTCATTGACTGTAATGCTTTCTTTCTCTTTTTTTTTGTTTTTTTTGTTTGAGGAAGTGCACAAGTTGAATTATGTTGAAAATTTATAAAATTTTAAACCGCCAAACCGATTCGCATCCATCCGCCAAACAGCCAATCCGCTCAATCCACATCCGCGGGATTGGCGGACGGATGCGGATTGATTTTCTTCAATCCGCCAATCTGACTGACGGATGGCGGATTAGAGGTTCCGTGGTCGCAACCGACCCGCGCCTACTCCTAGTGTTATGAGAAGAGTAAGCTTTGATAAAGTTGTCACATGGTGTTATATTTTCTATACAAAAATATCAAATATCAACATTTGTTATTTAATAAAAAGATTTTTAAATTGAAAATATAATAGAATATTTAAATTATTTTTTAATTAAAAACACAAACAGAATATCTAAATAAATTAAAAATATAAAGTTTTATAAATTACTAAGAGTGCTCGCGGTTTGACGGTTTAGTTGCGGTCAAAGGAATTTCAAATCCATCATCTGTCCAAAACTAGGCAGATTGGAATAAATCAATCTCCAGTGGTCTGCTCATTATCATGCATTCGTCCAAAATGAGACGAATCGGTTCGGTTCAATCGGTTTTGACGGATCGAAATATCCGCTGAGTACTCATAATTGCTATGAGATACTCGAGTTTTGATATTTGTAGATTTGATTATCACAAATATAAGAGTCATAACTGAAGAAAATAAAAATAGAATAAAAAAAAAGGTTGTAATCGAACACCACATAAGATATAGTCAAAGAGTTTTGAAGTCATAACTAATATCACAATGAATAAATCATAATCAAATATCATAAATATTATAACTATAGGTGCAAATAGTATACAATTTCCTATAGAATAGAGTAATATATATATTGAGTAAATTACACCACCGGCCCTTCTAAATTGAATGAGATATCATTTGGCTTCTCGTAATTTTAATTTGATTAATTTGGCATTTACATTTTTAATTTTATTACAATATGGTATATTATGTGTTGTTAACATTTTGAACGAACAAAAATTAGGTGCAAGATTAGAAGGACAAAAATGAAAAACAAACTACAATGACTACCAGTGTAAACTAGTGATCCATATAATTTGTTTTATAATTTTAGTTTGTTTGATGTGTGAATTGACTTTTTAGGTTTTTTTTATTTGGGAAGGACGTTTTGGTTTTTTTTTTTTTTTTGTTTGATGTGTGAATTGACTTTTTAGGTTTTTTTTATTTGGGAAGGACGTTTTGGTTTTTTTTTTTTTTTGACTTTTGTGAGATAAAAAATAAAATAATTATGATTTGGATGTGATAATTTTTAATTTAGACTAAAAAAATCTATTTTATCTTTTTATAACTTTTTTAACCTAAATCAATCCTAACCCACATGCCAAACCAAGACTTTATTAGATTGTTCTAATTTTACCATTTTTTTTTTTTTTATATTTTAAATTTTAACAATAGACGGAAAAAAAATCACGTTATAACAAAATTAAAAATATAATAACTAATTAACTCCAATAACGCTTGGCTTAAATTAGATGAACTAATAATATAATTTAGTAAAATATATATATTTCTCAACTGGTATGGAGACTAGACTTGTACAAGAATACCAGTTGAGAGAGAGAGTATGTCACCGACCCTGTTTCAGAAAGCCGGCTGATCTAAGCCACCGGAGTGGTTTTTTTAACTAAAATGTTTAAAAACGCAAAAATCTTGGTTTCTGTTTCTCATAAGTTTATATTTGGATTTTTATGGATTCTGTTTCCCATTCCTTCGTATATAAATGCAATAAAATAAAAATATTATAATTATTAAATTAATTTAATTTTTTTATAAATAATATATAATGAAAATTTTATAAAATAAATAATCTAAATTATCAAAATATTACGTGTAGCGGGATCCACGATCCCTTTCATTCTAATCAATATCAATCATAACAGGGAATAGTGTCCGGTTGGAAGGGGAAGAACTGTTTTTGATCCTCTCCTTGGAATGAATTGAGTTAATTTTATTAAAATTTCATTTCAAAAATCACACTTTTATTATAAAACAGCCTCAGTTTGTTAAAAAAGAACAAAAATTAGTAAAAGAATTTTTTCTAGGGAAAATTGGTCTAAGGTCCCTATCTAACTTTTAGTATGAGGAGAGATCCATAATAATATTTTCTGGTGTCTAAGGTCCCTCAATATTAGTTTAGTTTATAAAATACCTATTTTACCCTTTTGTATATTATAAGTGGTTTTCAATTTTGGAATCTGAAGATTGTTTGGGAAGGGCTTTTTGGCTTTTTGGCTTTTTTGGTTTTTTTTTGTGAGAGAAGAGTGTAATGATTATGGGTTGGATTTGATGTTTTGTTTGTTGTGGCTAAAATAGCCTGTTTTGTCTTTTGTGGCTATTTTAGCCCCAACCCACTTTCCAAACACCACCTCAGTTTGTTAAAAAAGAACAAAAATTAGTAAAAGAATTTTTTCTAGGGAAAATTGGTCTAACGTCCCTATCCAAATTTTAGTATGAGGAGAGATCCATAATAATATTTTCTGGTGTCTAAGGTCCCTCAATATTAGTTTAGTTTATAAAATACCTATTTTATCCTTTTGTATATTATAAGTGGTTTTCAATTTTGGAATCTGAAGATTACGTTACTATTTTTGTGGAAGATTACTTTGGGATGAACTTGGCGATCGATGGAGATTTCGATGATGCAGATTTCGTGGAAATTTTATAGGAATTTTGTAGTCGTATAGTAGTTGAGTTTCGTTAATCGTGTAGAAGTTGAAGTCGTGTTGAAGCTCGAATTTCCAGTAGAGCTGAATCAGGTAAGTTTAATAATCAGTTTAAGTTTTTTATTTTTCATTTGATTTGTATATATGGACTCCGATTTCAAATAAGTTTTTATAGTTTATTTTGAATTAGGTTTTTATTTTTAGTTTTGATCAAAGTGATAGAAAAGCCAGCTTAGTGAATTATTTTTTGATTTTTGAAGTTGATTTTTCATTCTTTGTTATTGACAATGGAGTTGATTTTTCATTCTGTGTTACATGTTTATCAATGATAAGTTTTGTTCTTCGTGTTTGGAGACCGGCTCTGTTTTTCTTCACTGTCTTAAGTTTTGTGCTCTGTTTTTTTCATTTATTCTGCACTTTTCATTTTTCTACACTTTGCTTTGTATTCCAGAGAAAATTATATGTTCATATTCCAGAGAAAATTGTATGTTTATATTCCAGAGAAATTTCTCTGCATTCTGATTTGAGTCCAATAATGCACAATCACACAGAGAAAATTATAAACTTGTAGTCCAGTAAAAATCACAGAGAAGCTTATAATTTGATAACTGATCTTCTGTGTGATTTTTGTCTATGATTGTGTTTAATAGTTAGCATTAAATTTCTCTAGATTCATTAATTTTCTTTGTGATTTTGTTTTTGTTATCTTGATGGTGAATATAAGTTTGTAAATTTTTCTGAACTTTTATTTGAGTCCAGAGAAAATTATAATTATTAGAAATTTCTCTAGACTTTTATGTTGTTCTTGTGAAGTATTTTTATATTGAACAAGTTATTTTTGGTATTTTTTGTTTCAGTTTAGATGGACAGTGCAGTGTTGTTACTGTGCAAATATGGGAATGATACTATTATCATTAATGTTTCATGCGAATTGAATTGATGATGCTATGATTTTACTTGCATTGAGTAAGAGACCAGCCAGGAGGCCAAAGAAGAACAAAATTGCTTCTACTGAAGAGTTTAAAAGGGTGATTAAATGTAGTCGATGTGATAGAATTGATCGCCATAATAAGAGGACATACAAGG